GAAATCCGTCAGATTGTACAGTCAATCTCCGATCTCAATGAAATATTTAGGGACCTGGGAGCAATGATAGTAGAACAGGTACACTGACATCACAGTGTTAGTAAGAAATAGGAGATTCCATATAGTGTTAAGGCTTCCAGACCCTTCCTGTTGTAACATCCTGTTTTCATGTGCTTCTCACTTTTCCTAACTTACCTCTTCAGGCTAAGGTTTCTTCTGCTTGAAATCTGCCAGAAGATGAGTTAATGAAAATAAATAAATAAAAATTCAACTGGTTATGGGTGTTAGACTAAAAAACCCGTAGAATGCTAAACTTCTGTTGGTTATTTCTCCCAGAGATTCAGTTTAGGTTAAATGTGTCAGCCAAAAACACCTGATCTGGAAGTAAGGTTATTATTAAGGAATGTGAGTAAAAGTTCATAGTTTACATAGTTCATTAGCTGTTTGCTGTGAGCATTGTTAATTACTTTACTGCTCATAATAATAATTGCTTTATGAACTTCATTTAGGTTCAATTTGGTGCTCATTCTCTCCATTTTATTTAGGGAACAGTTCTAGATAGAATTGACTATAATGTTGAACAGTCATGTATGAAAACTGAAGAGGGTCTAAAACAACTACATAAGGTAAGCTGGTGGAATACTTAAGCTGCTTTGCATATCTAATAATATTTTATAATTTAATAGCCATTAAGTTATTCAGTCATTTTTCAGTTGGACATCATCCCTTTTAGAAATGATTGCTTTACAGTGTAAAATGTCCAACTGTACTCTGTAGTAGGAACTTTCCATATAACTTCTGTTAATGTCGTGCTTGATGCCTAGCGTTAATTTCTTAAATAACTTTCTGGGCATCCAAGCAATGTGCTTTGGTCTTTGTATTGCTGACCTGGTGGGACTTACCTGCAATTCCTTCTCTGCTTGGAGAGCCCAGCACTTGTGAAATAGGACTGGTAATTGGGTACCTCCCTATAGATTTCAGTCAGTTGATATATCCTAGTTCAAAAACATTATCTCAATAGCGTGAGCAAAAAGCATAATTTTTAGTGTTTTGTCTTAGAGTCTGACACTTGTTAGAAGTTAGGTCCAACCTTATGCTTTTAACATGAAGCTTTTACTATGAGTATCTGAACAGTATGAATTGGCAGCAGAACACAGAGTATTGTGGTTGTTTTGTTGGCTTTTTTGTTTTGATTTTAAGCTAAGTTCTGGCTTGTCAGCTCAGTTCAGTCCTTCCATTGCTGGAAGTAAAGTAGAATGAGAGATTTATGCAAAAGCCTCTTAAATAAAACATTCTGTTTTGGAAACATGGACATCTTACTACTACACACTCAACTTGTTCATGTTATGGTAGACTTCTAACATATAGATAGCAAAAAAAGTATCATTTGAAGAAGAGCAAAATAAATTGGTTATAGGTTTATTCTTGTTACATGTAAAAGTAAATTGGAGGTCACTAAAATAAGGCATTGGCCAATGGTGAACAAGGCTTAAAGTAATTGCAAGCAATTTGCACAAACTGAACTGGAAGTAAATGAATCGGTTGGAATCAATGCTATTTCTAGTCTAGTGGTAGTTAATGAGTTGTCAGCAAACCCCCGTTTGGATTGCTGACTAGAGTGCGGGTTTTTGATGCAATACATACCTGTTTTCAGTACAGCATAGGAATTTTTTCACCCATCATCAAAGACACAGACACAGCTCTGAATAGTAATACCAAACACCGATACCTTGCTGTTTCTAATGCTGTTGGTAGCTTTATTCTGATTTAGTATCTATAATGTCAATTTTCTTTTCTGCTTTAATTGGCATAATTATTACAGTTACTGAGACAGCACGTTCACAGAAATTGCATTAATTAACTGCAGAAGTCCGGTGATACGAATCACTAGTTACCAATTCCTGCTTCACATGAAAGTCGGAATCAGTTGTGATACTTTGTCAGGCTTTGATAATTTAAAGCCTAATTAAGTAAAATAATCACAGTGGTTGCATGTTACATAGTTTCAGGTCAAAAATTCCTCTTCAGCAGATCTGATCATAATTACTTTCCAGGGACTATAAAGGAGAAGAATTAATATCTTTTTCCCTTTACATTTTAAACGTTTATTAATTTAAAAGAATTAAATGCAAGTTTTGTTTTGTTTAGCTTCTATTAGCAGACTTTCATTTGGCTTTTGGAGAGTTTTCTCCACGTTACCTCCTTTTAATTCCCCTGGGAAAAAGAGGAAAGGGATGAGAAAATCTGGGTAGAAGAAAGAAGGAATGAAGCAGAAAACTGAGAACCAAATCAAAAAGAAAGCTTTCAGTTCTAATTGAAATTAAATGAAAATGCACAGCTGAATCAGGTACAACAAAAATGCCTATTAAAGAATGAAGTTTTGTTGTGAATTTTAATGTCCTTCAAATATAATACAGGAATCTTGTATCAGCAAAATGAGTTAAATGATCTTACCGACTTTTACTGTTCAGACTTTCACGTCCTCAGTTGCCTGATCTTGTTTCCATGGTCTTCGTAGCTAAGTGTTCTTCCAAATGAAGTATCATTCTTCTGTGTAGCTCCTATGTCCTGTGGAGGCATAGGGCCCTCTCAAGGACTGCTGAAAAGAAGTCACAGTAAGATTGCTTAACCGACACGAGGATGCATTCTTCTTCATAGAGTCTGCTGTTTAATACAGATAAACATGACTTCAGCGTACACTTATCTTCATGGAAGTCTGTGGTGCAGACCAGAGTTATTTTGTGGGAGTTGCTTGCAATATACATTCTATGAAATGTCAAGTTAGCAAAGAACAATTCTGAAATACATGTGCTTCACTTATACTAAACAAGGGTCTGTACTTCATAGCTTTGCAGAAATCTAATTATTAACTTTTTCTTTTCTGTTTCTATAGGCAGAGCAATATCAAAAGAAGAATCGGAAGATGCTTGTTATTTTAATTTTGTTTGTTATAGTAATTGTCCTTATTGTTGTTCTTATTGGTGTAAAGTCACACTAGGTTTCCCTTCATTTTCTCATTTTTGAAGTTTATGTGAACTTTCTTCCCCAATGTGAATGGATGGACCTGCACTCCAGAAAGCTGCCTTTGAATGTGTAAGCCCTTGTGGTGCAAAGTCTGTGCAATGTTTCTGTAGAATTCTTCAAAGTACAAGTTTGGTGATCTGTGAGGTGTTTGTAAGGGTTATATGGAAAATGTCAGCAAATTTGATGCTCCCATACAAATAATTCGGTGCTCTATGTAGAGGTATTTGGAAACATAGTGCTTAAAAAATAATCACAAAATTGAAGTTTACCAGTGAGTACAGTAATTAGTGCGTTACTGTGAACAAAACCATGTTGTCTTCTGTATTCGTATGTAACAATTGTTACAGGCTTCAAATTTAAACCATGCTACTGAGTCATGGGACTAGATGACAAAAATTGATCGAGATGTAAAATACGTTGAGGCACAAAAATGTTTGCTTTCATCTCCTTTTCTTCCAGACTCAAAAACTCCAAAGAACTGGATAGACAGCTAAAAAAGAAAGCTTTTAGCAACCAAAACATAATCCAACCCCTGTGATCTTAATTTAGATACTGCACCATTACTAAGAATCAGAGTAGTACTTCATCTTGTAAATAACAAGATTTAATCACTGGCATAATTTAACACATTTAGTTAATTAAAAAAATTTCTGAGCTTGAGTAATCATGGGCATGTTTTTCCTCACCGGAATGATCGTATATATTTTTTCCATGTACAGTTTTTTAAATTTAAAGTATAGACGTTACGTTAAAGCAGTGGTGAAGTTAAACCTAAAAAATAGAGATTCTCCTTTTGGCTTCCTACTCCATCTGACCTGCTGTAGTGGGTCTCAGATGTTTCAAACTTCAGTTGCTGTATAAACTGTTCACTTCACAGTGCATCTCTCCATATGTGTTATGTTTTTTGTGTAAGAAGTGACTTCACTACAGTATATATTACATCCATTTTCCCTGACAGAAGAGTATTTCTTTCAAATGCCTGCCTGGAAGAAGACGTGTTTATGGTCCTTTACTGACACGAGAGATGTCATGCAAGTGACATGTTACTAGGCCTTCAGTAGAGAATTTGGGGGGGGGTTTCACTATTTTTCTCAGTGGAAAACTTTGCTGTAGGCCATAAGATAAATGAGGGAAACATTTAAGTGATAGAATACTCATGATTTAATTCAGGCCTGAAGTGGTGTGCAATTGGAGAGGCCTTGCCTTAACATTTTTAATATGGCTTTTCTGTATGGATTTTTTTCTCCAAAGGGACTGTAACTTATTTCCTTCATTTTCTGATTGATACAGTGCTCCCCACAAACTTGCAGAGATGCTCTGCTCAAAGCCCCTGAAGTGCAGTTTCGTAACACTATGATATTAATGTTGCGTATGTTGCCTGCCCTGCGTTTTTCTTTCCTGTGTACTAAGGGGGACATAAGAGGTGGCTTTAAACTGACTTGGTGCCGGAACCAACCTGAAAGCAAAGACTTGCAAGGATGTGAAAGCCTTGGCTTTTTGTTTGGCTTATTGTGAAAAGCTTTGTACCACTCATTACCTCTAGACAAAGGGGATGTTGAACTTCCAAAAATGCCCGTTCAAACCCTTGATTAAATTCATAAAGTAACTTGGTAAAAGAAAGACTGATGCTTGTCGTTGGGTGTGCAGCTCCCCTGTTCTGGTAATAGATCTTTTCAATGATCGTGAGTAAAACTACTGTCTCCCTAGTGTGCTGTCTACATCGGTTGGTGTGAAGCAGCATATTGCTATAATTTAATATACTGTATTTGCAACCTTCTCTCTAACATGAGATCGTGTTATTTATTTCTGTCTTGACTGGTGCTTTTGACATTTTATCATGGCTAATGAATTCAAAGAAGTAATAAAACACTTCCAACCTAATTGGGCAATTATTCTTTTTTTTTTTTTTAGACAGTATAAACCGAAACATAATTGTATGATGTTAATGCATCTCTATATGTTCTTCATAATTAAATTAAATCAGCAGTGACATAACATAACTTTGGAAAAAAAAATGTAACTTTCTAACTTTGTGTAGCACAATGTAACTTGCATTGTCAAGAGTTATTTCCCATGAGTTATGCCCAATGGTATCTTAACTCCACTGAAGTAACTGGCTACATATTTTCTATCCAAATTCTGTAAAAGGAAATGCATTTTTAATACTCATCAGACACGGGGTTAAACTCAGATGTCAGCTGTCCTGTGTAACTTGAGCTGGAATTTATTAAAACTGATTATATCCTGGGGGGAAAAAAAAAAAAAAACCACAACAACAGGCTTCTGAATCACTGCAGGTGTCTGGCTTACGAGGAGTCAGTCTAAATAACTATCAGCCGCTAAATCAAACCCTTATGCTGTGCTTTGTTAGAATTATCTCTGCATGGCATGTTACAGAAAGGGTATTATCTGTGCCACTGGGCAATGAAAGCCCAAAAAAGCCACCGCAGCTGAGGAGTAGCTTGGCTTTGGTGGTGGCAGCTGCCTGCGCGGGTGTTATGGGAGCAAGAGCTGCCTGAACCTACTGAGTGTGCTTCTGGCCAGCCCTGAGCCGTGTCTGTATTCTGCTGCAGAGAACGCTGGTACACTCCGTTCTGTAGATTGTGGCCTCTTCATGGTTGCTGGATTATTATTCTCAGCTTGTACTGAACCTCTGATTCCTTACAAAGGAGCAGAATAGCATTGCTAGAGCATCTCCCAAGAATCCGTGGCTCCTCACCTGGTGGGAATGACATAAAGCTGTTGGCTTCTACGGAATTTCTCCACTAAAATGGATGCAAGCCTACAAAAATTAGCTGCTACTCCTTGTTAACAGAAGTTAATTCTAGTGATGTCTGAAAATGACCTTCTCAAAACACTTGTCAGCGTGCTGCTTCACCCCTCCAAGTCTGCGTGTGTCACCTGCAAAAATGAGAGCAAATAGCACATGCTGAGATACTGAGACCGCAGCCTGCCCGCAGTGATTCCCATCTCCTGCTCCTTTACTTGGCCACTCGTCTGCCCTGCCTCTTCAGTTTGCACGTTGCCATGTTGGGGCTTGGGTACCACCTGTAAAAGCACAAACAACACGGGATGCTCATAACTTCACCAACAATACACCTGGAAAGTAACTGCTACTTCAGCCCACTAGTCATTGCTTGCCTTGCCCGAGTCAGCTCTGGTGCTAATGCCCCACTTTGCTCATTGTTTCGTACCTTCAAAATAAAAAAAACCCCAAACCTGTAAGGTAATCGTATAGCCACCAGTTGCATCTTCCCTCCAACACGAGGCACCGACCCACCTTCTTACGGTGCTCCACTCACTTCTGCTTCATCACCTTTTGGCGCATGGCTCGTCCTTCTGCATCTGAAAAAGCAGTATTGAACAAGTCACCTGGAGGCTGATCGATAGCTTAACTATCCCTGAGATCTTGTTCCCATTTAGGAATACCGCCTAGATTCTGATGACAGCCTGCCATTAAAAAAAAAAATTCCGTTCATCCCCCACGTCTCTGCGTAACACTGCAGAAATGAGTCTCCTCGCCTGCCACAGAATCTTGCTGCTGTTCTTTTGCGGAGAGGAACTGTCACTGCTATGGCCCCGGGCAGAGCAGCTCCAGCCCCGACAGGAACGGGCACAGCTGGGCTGGGGCTGCAGGGCTGGGTTCTGCCAGAAGACACCAGGAGTTGCCCATGTGTGTGCTGCCGCATCTGGGAAGCCCCACAGGAGAGGAGCATTGAGGCACCCACCACCCACTCCTGGGTGGGCGAGGGCCCAGCAGCCAGCATCGCCGAGGAGGAGGAAGGGGCAGAGGCAGTGGGAGAAGCCTCGGGGCAGAGAGGATCTCTGGCCAGCACCAGGAGCTGTGGTGAGTTGCACGTCCCCTTTTTAAATATTCCTTTCATGGCTAATTTCCTTCACTGTCTTTTTTAAAATATTTTTTGTCTTTCCTTAGTGCCCTTGCTTTTAAAATTTTCTTTCTACATCTCTGTTTCAGTTTGCCAGTTATTTTTTTTTTCCTTTACTTCCCTAATCCCTATTGCTTTTAATATTTATGTCTCCTTTTATCCAGTTCACTGCCTATATTTTTTTTCTTTTCTGTCCTTTATACCTTTGCCTTTCAAATTTTCTTTCTATGTCTGCATTTTACTTTGTTGTCCTTATTTTTCAATTTTTTCCTTTATTCTTTTTTTTTCTACTTTTATCCCATTCATTATCTGCATTCTTTAAATTGTTTCTTGTCTTTCCTTAGTGTCATTGCTTTTTGAATTTTCTTTATATGTCTACTTTTATCAAGCTCCCATCCCTATTTTTTAATTCCTCCTTGTCTGACATGTACCCTGTTGGTTTTTAAATTTACTTGAAATGTCTCTGTTTCAGCTCACTGTCCTTGTTTTTTAATTTTTTCCTTTCTTTCCTTCTTTTCCCATTGCTTTTAAAGTGTTATTTCTAGGTCTACTTTTATCCAGTTCCTGTTTCAATTTCTTAATTATTTCCATGAACCGCATTGCTTTTAAAATTTTCTTTCTATGTCTACTTTTATCTAGTTCACTGTCCCTGTTTTTAAATTTTTTACTAAAGCACATAAGTTTCTACAATACTACTGTTTTTGCATTTAATGAGCTACTTTCCTACGTAGCTTAGTAGGACACCTATTTTTTTCTATCTACACCCCAGAAAAATTAAATTTCGTTCCCTACCCAGTGACGTTGCTGGTGCAATAGATGTAGGTGTAGTAAAAGGGCAGGCATCGTCGTTCCCGGTAGGGATCGTCATCTCTGTTCAGCGCTTTGCATGCTGTAAACTTAAGGCTGATAAGAAAACTCCTGCCACTCCTCTGGCCCTTTGCCGAGCCTTCGTGAGACATCCCCTGTGCCCCAGAGCCCTGTTCTAGCTTGGGAGGACACTTTGCACCCCTCCTTCTCCCTCTAAATCCTTCCCGCGTCCACATCTGTTCCCCTGGTCGGTCGGTCTCTCCTCTCGCCCATTCTGCATGCCTCCTTCCAGTCCCCTGAGGACGTCTGTACTTTATTCCATTCCCTTCTGAGCTCATTGCATCCCTGAGACTTCTTTAATCCATCCATACCCTTTGGGACCTCTCTTATCCCTGTGACGATGCCTCTTGTCCTCTCAGAACCGTTGCCAAAGCCCGCTTTGTGCTCCACAGCAGCCTGCTTGTTTTCTGTCTTATGTTTCTGTTTGGTTGGTGGAACCTTGGGGTTTTTCACCAGTTCTGCTGCATACTGTGCAAGTTGCTGATACCATGTCTTCCTAGGACTGATGGTGGGATCATCTAGCAGGAGTGAGGGAGAGCATCTTGTATGCATCTGTATGTGGAGTTTTAGCATTTCTCAAAAAAGCGGCAGGGACGTAAGGCATAGGCATTTCAGGGCATGGGACAGTTCAGGAGAAGAGAAGGGGTTTCTAAAGTTTGGAGTCCAAGGGATGGTTGGGCAAGGGAGGTGGGTCCATCGGGTCCATCAGCCTTTCTCAGACTGGCTTGGCAGTTGGATGTGGTCATCCCCACACATGTTCCCTCATGGACCTTTCTGCCCATACATATCCCCTGCCCTTCCGTGTCAGTCTCCTCCCCATCACCCTCTGTGTCTCCCCGCCCTCCCAAATGCTTTTCACCGAAATGTCGCTTTGTGTGAGTTTTTCCCCCAAGTGATTTTTTTTTCCCCCATTACATGCCCCCCACATCCCCTGCCCTCCTATCTCATACCCCCTCTCCCTTCTCTCCCCCTCCACCCCTCCTCTACCCCTTCCATATTCAGCACCGCCCCCATAACCCCTGAGCTTCTGGACCCCTGGGACACTGCCTGTACCCCTTACCTGCCCATTGTCCCCCCCTTCCCTGCACCCCACTCTCTCACCCCTTTATCTGGTATTTGGGTTTCATACTGAAGCCATTACTGTACTTTGGGTTCCACCCTGCGGACACAATTAGCAATTAATACATCTTCTGAGAGGCTTTTTGTGGAGGACTTTCCAGCTTCCCCTGCTCTGCCAGGGGCACAAGGAGCTGGGAGGGGCACAGCCAGGACAGCTGACCCCAACTGGCCCCAGGGCTATTCCATACCATATCATGTCATGCTCAGTGTATGAACTGGGGGGAATTGGCCGGTGGGCAGCGATTTCTGCTCAGGGACTGGTGGGGCATTGGTTGGCGGGTGGTGAGCGGTTGCATCACTTCCTCCCCCCCGGGGTTTCTTTCTTGTTGTTTTCCTTTTCATTACAATTTATTATTATTTTATTCCAGTTATCAAATTGTTCTTAACTCACAAGTTTTCTTACTTCCGATTCTCTCCCCCATCCTGCTGCGGGGAGGAGGCTGAGTGAGCGGCTGGGTGGTGCTTGGTTGCCGGCTGCGGCTAAACCACACCACGGGAATGGCAGGATCTGTACTCGATGACTAGGAGCTTGCTGCCTGCTTCAATCTTTCGAACGTCTCAACCCTGAAATAATTTCTGTGTGTTACCGGCTTTCATGTCTCCCATGCTGACTATATCTGTTGGAATAATAGTGAGCCCCTAAACAATTTATGTTCTGTGGCTCAGTAAAGAGACTCATAAAAGCTGGAGTTGGAGCTCGTTTATCGAGTTATCCTGTCCAGTCTGGGAGGACGCATGACTGACCTCTGCAGCAGATTTTGCTAGATCTTTTATTCAGGCTAATTTTAAATGTATCAGGCAATAAAGTTTCCATAATGTCCCTTCAGAGACCAACTAAGACCTTACTGTATGGAAGCTTTTCCTGCAATTCAACCTAATATTATTTCTTTTTAGATGTATTTCCATTATATGCATTAGCATTCACGTTTCCAGAAGTGCAGTCCCTTTCTGATGTTTAGATTTTCCTAGCTTTCATAGCTGCAGATTAATGAGCATTAATTCCCAAGTGACCTGGCATTAATAGGAGGTGATTGGCAAATACAAAAAGATGAGGATACCCTATTATATTTAAAGCAAACATCTAAATTTACTATTAAAGATAGTGTTTGGAAAACATCGTTTCCTTTTCGTGAGTCCCCACGCTGTACCTTGGACCATATTTTGGCTTTCTCCTCTGTTTCTGGAATGGTTTTTTAGCAGCACCTTTCATCCAGTATTTAACTTTACAAGGAAAAGAGGAATTTGGCTTTTCCCATTTTTATCCCTAGGTAGCTTCACGCTTTCAAAATGAAGCGTTTCCCTCCTACAAGGGTGTTACGAAGGGGAAAGACAGACTTTCAGCTGGACACGATTGTGCTTCAGTTAGCACCCACACCTCTCCCTCTCCGAAAGCACGCTGCACCGCTCGACGCGTGCAGGAGGACGCAGGGGATCTCGCACTTTGTGGCTTCGCACAGCAGAGTGGCCGCGTGGGTTTGGTTGGTTGTTTTTTTTTTTTTTCCCGTTTTTCTTTATAACCTGTGAAATTGTAAAACCCCTGACCTGCACCTGCGCTTTCCGAAACCCGGCTCAAACACAAAGGCCTGGCACAAGGCCGCTTCCCAGCCCAGCGCCCCCAGCAAGGACGCCGCCGTCGCGCACG